TTTAGAGAGAAAGGGAGAGGGAGAGAGATAGAAACATCAGTGATGAGACAGTCATTGATGGGCTGCCTCCTGCACGCCCCCGACTGGGGATCCAGCCCCCAACCCGGGCCTGTGCCCCGACCGGGAATCGAACTGGTGACCCCTTGGGACCCAGGACGACAATCAACTGAGCCACACCGGCCAGGACTTCTTTTAAATTTTTAACGAATACATACTGTTGCTTTATTCAAGAAATGTTCAGAAGTGGATAAAATGCCCATAGTCTGGCCAGGCCAAAGTATTGATCTTTCCCGATATACCAATACACACAGAACCGCTTACTTTTAGCCCTAATCTGACTGCCTCCTGGGATGATCTGTCCCGCACACGCGCACACAGCCGGCGGGCCTATTTCCGACGCCGGGTAACAGCTCGGGCTGCGAACGTGCAGCACGTTACCCGCTCCCTAGACACACGCAGGAGGCCCCGGCCTTCAAATGACCACCCAGGCGAGCGCGCCATTGACGCCTGTGTGGACGTAGCGCTGGGTTCTCTCTAAAAGGGATTTGTGTGTTAGACGGTGTAGGAATGTCTTCAGGACTCTTACTGCGTGTTTTTATAATGTTTTAAGAGTGAATTTTCTCTCACACGTCTGCCCTGTATTCATACAACATGACCACATTTTGTTAGTTTCCACTGATGAAGAAATAATGATTGAAAATATGGTTAGCCCTGGCCGCTGTTGCTTCACGGTTAGAGCGTCAGCCTGGACACCGAAGGGTCTCAGGTTCGATTCCCAGTCAAGGGCACGTACCTGGGTTGCAGGCTCGACCCCCCGGCCCCGGCTGGGGCGTGTAGGGCAGGCAACCCATGGATGTGTCTCTCTCACATCAGTGTTTCTCTCTCCCTCCCTCCCTTCCACTCTCTAAAAATCAATGGAAAAAATATCCTTGGGTGAGAATAAAAAAAAATTTTTTTTTAAATCTCATTTCCTCTTTGATCCCACAATTATGAGGTTGCTTTTGGGTTTTGAAAACCCTAATCTTCAGGGAGCCTGTGGACGGAAGAGCCCCAGTGATCCTCCCTAATTCTCCTCAGTCCCTAACCATAGCTCTGCTGGCTGGCCTGTCCATCCCCGTTGGTCACCAAAACTCAACTTATTATCTGAGTGCAAGTAAATATCAAAATAACCGATTCCCACAGAGCCACGGAATGACCCCACGTGGCGTTGGGGTTGAAGAGGCCCTTGGAAAGCGGGTGACTCACTCGCCGGGCCAGCTCCATCCATTATCCCAGGATACGTAGGCGATGCCATCCCCGGGAATTAATTTGTCGGCTACTGTCGTGGACTTCAGTGCCCGTGATGAATGTTTTTACAATGAATGCCAAATTAACCCAAACTGATTAGGCGCTTTTATAAGTTATTAATGGGATGTCACCTCAGCCTGGGCCTCTCCGTGGAGGTGACATTTCATGAAACAATCTCCTCTTGCTGGAAAAAAATCAATCTCTCTCCCCTTGCTGGGTTTGTCATGCTGATAAGGTGCCCCCTGCCGCCTCTGTCACCTAGACCTGGGTGAGCAGCAGTGCCCTTGGGGATGGCTGTGACCAAGGGGAGGCAGCTCATCCCATTTTGGCTCAGTTCCCCGGTGGCTTTCTGGGAAGGGGAGAGAACCACTGACCAGCTACGGGTCCTGGGGCTGGAGAAGGAAGCAGGAGGGCCCACCAGCTTTTTCCAAGTCCCCCCAGCCCCAGCTTTAATGCGATATAATTGACATATAACAATGTATAAGTTTAAGGTGCTACAAAAAGATTAGCACCACAGCCTCAGCTGACACCTCCGCCTGATACACAGTTACCACTCCATCCGATACATAGTTACCACCTCCGCCCGATACACAGTTAACACTTCCAGCTGATACACAGTTACCACTCCATCCGATACACAGTTACCATTCCCTCAGCCAGACAGAGAAGACATGTGCGATATCACTCACCTGGGGAATCTAAAAAGCCAAACTCATACCAACCAAGAGCAGGATGGTGGTCACCAGGGGCTGGGNGGCCGTTTCCACACAGACAGACAGACCCTTTCAAACCCACTTGAAGCTGAAGGTGTAGAGGGATAGGACTCGACGGTTTGTTTCTGAACAGTATCCCTGACCCCCTAGGATCTGGAGAAGAGTCAGAAAAGAGATGCACCCCTTTGGATGCCCACCCAGGCCCCTGCGTCATGTCCTGCATGTCCCGGCTTTCTCAAGGGCAGCCGGAGTCACCTTCGGACACACGCCAAACGCTGACTGGATACAATTCTTATTTTTTTTCTCATTTTCTACATTTTGCTTAAGCCAAGTAATAATCCTAATGCAACAATAACAACAAAAGCCATCATTTATCAAGTACTTTCTTTATAGGAGGCTCCAAGTCGTGAACTCTAAACGGATGAACTTAATCCACACACCGGCCCCTCCGAGGTCCATGTCTGGTGGTCTCTGTCTGGTGAGAGCGTGCCTTTGGTAAGGGCCAGAAACAAGAATATTGCCCTCTCCCCTTTTTAAAAAATCCTCACCCCAGGATATTTTTCCATTGATTTTTAGAGAGAGTGGGAGGGAGAGAGAGAGAAACATCGATGTGAGAGAAACACATCAACTGGTTGCT